GAGCCTTTGTCCCATGATCCTTGGCCTTTAGTACCACCTTTCTCACCAGTCTCTCTGATTCCCTGCATGCCATTGCCAGATTAAATTTATTACTAATTTTTTCAGTTATCCCTTTAATAAAAGAAAAGGCTATAGTGTTTTTTTTAATTATCATTATTATTATCGTTACATATCGTATGTAGAATTTTCAAGCTGATTAACTTGGTCTCTACCCTGCCACCCTGTCACTGCCTTCTTCAACCAAGGAATCTAAATAGCTAAAGTTCTGGGTTCTTTTCTCACCAGAAGAACTTCATTTTTTTTTTTTTTTTTTAAGGTGTTGAAGTTCTGCCTAAAAAAGGAACAATCATATGTTTTTGAGAGTTTAATGTTAATTTAAAATTTTATTTTGTAAATAGAAAAGTACACAGATCCGAAGTATACAGCTTGATGCATTTTTCCAGCATAAACACACTTGCTGTAACCACTACTGAGGTCAAGAATAGAACGTTACTAGAGTAGTTCTAGCAAATCCCACTTCAATGCCAACTACATTAAGTGAGAATCTCAAAATCCCACTATTCTGTCCTCAACTATTAGGATATAACAAATCCCCACTTTTTACTTCTCTGTTCATTTCTTACATCAGCCATCCATGCATCACTTCTTTCGCTGACCCTAGCCACCCAGAACTAGATTAGACACCATTCTTTAGACTGCCAAGTAGGCAGGTGACAGCCACAGTTTTGGGAGTCCACATGACATCCTAACTTCTGATCTGCTAGCTACAAATTCAGGGCTTTTCCTCTACCCCTTAAGGATGCCAGCCATAAGCTCAGGAATCCCCACTGAGCTCCCTCACTTTTGACCTGCTGGCTCCCACTAATTCTTTGGGATCAGTAATTTGATGGAACTCACGCAAAGTGCTGTGCTTACGATTATAGTTTTATTATAGCAAAAAGTGATACAAACAGATGCCTTGGATGAGGTCTGGGAGGGTTCTCAGTGCAGTTTCCATGTTGCAACGGGCATGTTACCGTCTCACATGCATGAATGTCTTTCACTAACCAGGAAGCCCATAGAGCTTTCATGCCCACAGCTTTTATTGGCTTCACTACGTAGTCATGATTGAGGCCTCATTGCGTAGGCATGTTGGGACCACATTGCATAGGCATGATTGATTGAATCATGCTCCCTTCCCTCCCTGAGGTCTGCTGATATCAGGCTGCCAGTTGGTCCCCTGTTCATTTGCATAAATCCTCAGGTATTGTTTAGATAACAAAGGCACCTCAATTATTCAACAAATTCCAAGAGTCTAGAGTTACTTCAAGGAGCCCTGGTGGAGCAAAGGTTAACCACTTAGCTGCTAACCGAAAGGTTGGCAGTTCGAACCCATCCAGCAGCTCTGTGGGAGAAAGACCTGGTGATCTGCTTCCATAAAGATTACAGCCAAGAAAACCCTATGGAGCATTTCTGCTCTGTCACGTGGGGTCACTGTGAGTCAGAATCGACTTGACAGCACCCAACAACAATAAGAGTTACCGCTCAGTAAACAAGGGAAAGGTCAGATTACTTTGGGTAAAGTTAAATTCTTTTTCCTATAACCAGTGATTCAGATGGCTCACATGTCTCTCTTATGAGATTTATTTGGGAGATAAAGATGATTCTGCTATTAAACATAATAATAACAACTTTGAAAACCATTGATCTGTGCATGCATTCAGATGCTCCATCAACATTTACGCTTTCTGAGCATCTGTACTGGTCTCCCTCAAATTTAGCCTCTTCTTTCTTCTCTAGGAAGGCAGCTTTTCTCACTAATCTCTGGACAAACACTGAGTCTGGGCCCCAGGACGTTGCTTACATATAGTTTCCATTGCTCAGGGTATTTAAATCCTACAAAATTGCCAAAGCCCAGCTCAGGGTCCTCCTCTCTCCAGACTTCCCACTCTCTCTAGCCCACATGCCTCTCCCTTTTCTCCGATTTCATCTGGTACTTCCTGTCTGCATCCCTCATTTCCACATTAATCACATCCAGTCTTGGGAGAATTAACATTTTTTTCTGCCTCTCTTTCATATTTTGTACTCACAGTGCTAGGCAGCTAACAGAGTAGATACCGAATAACACTGATAAAATGGAAGTAGTTTGCCTTTATTAATTCAATCTCAAAAAAATTTTTTTAAGGTCCTTATGAAAACCGTACTGTCTACGAGACTTTGGACATTGGCTGGCAGCTGCTCCGAATCTTCCCCAAAGAAATGCTGAAGAGAATCCCTCAGAGTACCCTGAGCGAGTTTTACCCTCGAGACTCTGCGAAGCATTAGCTGCTACTTCATCGCTGGCTCGATACACTTATGAAATACTGGTTCTATTTTCTTTATTCCTTTTGCACCCCCCATCCCCATCTTTATGTTGGAGTTTACCATGTTACCCTGTAATTAAAAACAAAGAATAGGTAACGTATTGTGCCAGTGTTCCGATGTTTAAAACTGATAACAGACTTTGAAGTATCCCGCTATTCAGAAAGCCTGGATCTTCAATGCTTTGTTTAAAATAGCTGCAGGAGTGGAGGTGAAGTTTTCTTATTTGATGTGTGTATTTGTACATAGTGACATAGTTAGTTGCCTAATAATGTCCTCATTATTTGGGTCTTCTCGACTTCATCTATCAACCCCTTTTAGAGTATCACTGTCTGAAGTTGTAACTCTTTGGCCTCCAAATTAGGGCCAAGATCAGATCTGAAAGGATCCTCCTTTAGGGAGAGCCACGAGGCTTTTCCTGAGCATTTGCTTTCGGATTGTGTTGTCTCTCTAGATCTGTCTGTGCTGCTGCTCTAAGCAGATGGCTTTTACCATCCACTTGCTCTTTCCTTCCTAATGAATAGACTTGCAAAAGAAGTTTTGTTTTCCTTTTCATTTTAGTATGTGTTGAGCTGGGACTCTTGTGTCTTAACAGTTGTCCCTCTCAGTAACACAGAATCATGCAACCTTTGCATGGCCAGCATGTCTGGTAGGAGTGAGATGCCTCGTCCTGGTGATCCTTACTGGGTTTCCATGCAGAGGAATCATACAATTAAAATAACTTACAGAACTCTTGCTTGGAAGAGTTGGGGTGGAATAAAAAGCAGAAAGCAAAACCTAATCCTGTTCTACATTCTGACTTGCTAACAGTGGTTTAAGTTTCTGAAGTGTTTCTCAGATGCAAAAGGCAGGGTAGGGAGGAGAAAGCTGACCGCTCATATGTTTTATGCATATTTTAAACTCTGTTAGAGAGCAGCCTTTGGAAATTTCCCATTTGTTCCTGCTTTCTGACCTGTCTTTGCCTTTTCAGAGTAATCTTGTGGCACAAGTGATAGCATTTAAAAGCTTTAGAAGTATAATTCTTGCTCCTTCCTCAGGTTAGCCCTGAAGCTATCTTCTATGCAGTTCTGCCATGTCTACTGTTTGGTCTCTTTGTGTTCTTTGTTACTTGGGTGCAGTAGCAACTTCTCTACTCTGTGCATTCCATCTTTCAAGTTGTGGAAGTTCTTTACTTTTTTTCTTCTGTGGGTGTAGGGGGTGGGGGGAGTCAGCATGACACTATTTTAATGTAGAAAATGTGACATCTGGATATAAAATGAAAATAAATGTTAAATTAAATGGAAGTTACCTAAAGTGATTGTTGTATCTTCTAATCAGAAAAGCAATAGCAACGAGCAAATATATACTATATAATAATGCATCTCATTGAGTCACAGTTTTGAACATCATAACCAGTATTGTGAACCAGATCCCTTGTGTTAGAAGTACGTGGTCCATGTTTTATACCCTATTCTCATCAGGCTTCCCGTTTCAGCTCTTTTTAGCAATATCTCTTACAACATACTGTAGTTTGATTCCAGGCTGAGAGTTACTACAGGAGCTGCATAGCTATCTTTGTTTCACACATTTTCAGGGCCCTCTAGAGTCTTCTGCCATGAATGAAAAGAGGATGATAAATAGGAAATGAAGTACCTCTTTTGGAAAAGTGGTTTGAAGCAAATCAACGCTTGCCTCAAACAAAATCTTAACTAGGTAAGTGGGGTCAGGGAGGCCTTCTGTTTCTTTCCCCTCCTCAATCCGAGGCAACTCTGAGGACATGGAGAGGGAAAGGCTCAATCACAGCAAGAACTAGGTAGACCAAGTTCTAATTCTGGTTCTGCCATTAACTATGTGGCCTTGCTTAGTCTTCTAACAAATTTGAGTGTTTACTTATATGCCTTTTAAGGTTATTATGAGGATAAGAGTTTATGATTATAAAACACAAGAACAGTGCCTGACCCATAGTATGCACTCATAGTGGGTTGCTTTTATTAACAGACTTTTATTAAGGCAAATTTGACTTTGATTACTCTTACAGGTCAGCTGGTTGTTTAACTAGCACTTGTTAATTTGTGTGTTAGGCATTGAGACTTGCTCATTTTTTAATGAAAACAGTTTTTAATGGAGCCTCTTTGTACTAGTTATAGACCTAATATTAGCACTTCAGCATGGAGTCTCCTTATAATCAAATTTTTAAAAAAGAAATTTTCAGTTTAGTTGACAAAGTGTTTGGGAGGTGAAAAAGTATCTTGAAAGGTCAGGCCAAGTGACTCATTAAACATTTATTGCTTGCAGTTGACTGTCATTTCAGTTTGTGAGTTTCA